AATTGCCATGGATTATCTCCTAGCTACAGAGTGGGGTAGGTGCCATAGTAAACACCTCGTGTTGCGATTGGATGAACACTGCCAGTCAGGTGGGGAGTTAAGAGACATCTAAAAAGTTAAGGTTGGCTAAGCCTCTTGAAGGGGTCCCATCCCCTGGCCCATTGAGCTGGTCTCATTTGCCCTTTTCAGATTATTTCTAGTTGGCTACATTTGGGCCTCAGTTCCTTTTACACTCTGCCCTACAGTTTATAATGATCCTTTTAATTTTAGGCTTCAGCCTCTGGCTCCTTCTTCAGGTGATACTTACATGTTTCAGTCACTGTTTAAAATCTAACTTGTCTCCTTCTGGGTACCCCTTGTCTTCTAATATTAGTTCACCCCCGGGCAGGGAACCTACAAATATTTTCCAATGAGTTCTGTACATTTCTGTTCCTCTAACCCGGATCTACACCATAGTCCAGAAGGAAGCATCCAGATCAGTTTTGCTTGGACTCACACAGTGGGAACTGAAGCCCAGTGAAACCTGGTTAAATCCTCCAGCTTCAGTGGTTTCTATTTACTTGCTTTCATCACTAACTTTAGCAGTCATGTAGCTAAACAATAAAGTATCATACCCCCACTAACTTTGCCCTAAATAATACCTATCAAGTGTGGTCACCACAGTAAGTTGTTTTTGAGGAATTGGGGTATAGCCTTTTCTAGCCCAAACTGATTGAAGCCACCAGCCACATTACTTGATCCTGCACAAATGTAAACTGGGTGACATTTGATGTCACACAGTTAAAAACCTCCACCAACAGATGATGCTAACACCGCCATTTTCTGAACATCTGTCCTAAGAAGACCCACAAAATTGGATTACACGTGTGCAGGCCACCAATTACTTCACTCCTCCTTACTACCAGATGCCTTTAGCCAGACTTTAGACCACCTGCTTCTTTATCCCATGTGTACTCCCAAACTCTTAACCCAGGTAGTCAGATTTGAGACTTGCTCTCCTGTCTTCCATGTGCTTGACTGTCTCATGAGTAAACTCTTTCTCTTTTACAAACTTGTTATTTTGGTGATTGGCATACTGCATAGCATGCAAAATGGGCCTAGTTCAGTAATCCATTTACTGGACTTTAAAATTCTATTCTACACACCTCTCAACCTTTCTTTCATAATTTGCTTTTTATCTCTTTGCACTATTTCTATACAATTCCCACAGATGGATCCATTTTTCTCTCTTTGATGGCATCTAATATCAAGTTTATTCTATACAGTGATTTGTTGTTGTTATTATTATTTCAATGTCCATATTTTTGTTCTAGTATTTAAAATTATCTCATCTGTAATTTATACTTTCCACAGAATTTCTTTTTTCAATAATCACAGTTTGCATTCTGGAATTCTTTTTTTGTTCTTTTGTTTAGAATTTCAAGTTGTTATTTTGTGCTTTTAACTGTATTTAAGTCAAGGTAAAGTACCTACAAATCTGCTCTTTCTCCTATCTGCTGACAATTCATTATGCAAATTGTTTGATCATGCGCTCTATAATTTTGGTTTATGGGCCAATCTTAATTGGGGCTTTCTTGGGGAAGTCCTAGGGGCCTGGGTTATGATAATATTTCTACAGAGTGATAAGCTCTAATTTTCCTAAAACCTTGGAGGAAACATTGACCTGGAACCAACCATAAGTTAGAGTCTGTAAACAAGTCAAGATGGCGCCTGGCATTTTGCAGAGGGAGTGGTTTGTGAAGTAACGCCAGTGAGCCATTAAGTGTGGAGATTCCTTATTGGTTGACTGCTGTATCTAGTTTATGTTAATTAAGATAAGCTGTGTGTAATGTATATATACCCCTCCTGTCCTACAATAAACGGCTCCCATTCCTGCTGTATCAATCTACACAAGTTGCTCGTCACCCCCCCCCCTTACCGGCTGCCGAACTGCAGCAGATGGTGGCCCGTACGGGGAGCCCCGGGACACTCAGGGGTAAGTGACGAAAAAAAGCTACCCTTCCATAGATAGGACGGGAGCAAATCTGCTCATCCCTAGATAGGGCGAGAGGAAAAATGGCCATTTCGAGAAAATGGAGAGGATTGATACAGTATGTTTGTGTCTTGTTTTGTCTTGGTGTATTGTATTGTCTTTGTGATGAAAATATGGAAGGGGTGAGAAGTAAATTACTAAGGGAAGGAGGCATCCCAGTGGAACCAAGAATAGTTAGGGCATGTGTTGATGGAAGCCCAAGAACTCTAATCAGAAAGAAGAAAAAAGTTCAGAGGAGGAAGGATTATCAAGAAAGGAATTGCAAAAGGCTACTACTAAATACTTTTCAATACTGGAGGATGCATGAATCGGTGCAGCGGCTGCCATGTGCGAGAGCCAGTCATGGCGCCACAAGGACTTTCCAAGCTGCGGCAGCCAGCTCTTCCATTGCCACAAGCCCAAATATAGAACTGACCTGGAGGCACAGTCTCTCGGGCTCTTGCTCCCTGTGCCCAGTGGCAGTTTGAGTCCAGAAAACTCCCCGACTCTCCCCAGGGCCATCTGGCGCTGCCTGGGATGCTGCAGGCGGAAAGGCCAGTAACTACAATGGTTCTCCCACACCTGGAAGCTAATGAGTAATGATCACTATTAAGGCTTATTTCAAATGTAAAAAACCTTGAGATAATGTACTAAATTGTTCAGAAGGTTGTTTTCTTAGTTCCTGCTGGAATACTACAGGATTTTCTTTAGTATCATTGCCAGAGTTCCTGCCTTCATCCCAGTGCCAATGAGGACGAGGATAAAAGAATTTCCATTGTTGCTGAGAACCGGATGAGACTTCGGATCCAGCTAGCTGCCTGCAGAACTTACCTGGACTACAATTTAAGCTAGCTGCCTGCAGAACTTACCTGGACTTTGAGTTAATCTATTGAGACACTGCTTTACCTGGACTGAGACAACAAACTGTAATCTACAACAAATTGTAACTCAGTATCTTTGCTAACGGTCTCATTGCTGGTATAATTTTTCCAAGGGCTTCTTACATGGAGCCATCAATTGGCTTGGTATTGTGACATTTTGTATCCTCCCCTTCTGCTTGTAGCAGATTATTTATGGTGTTTGTGTAAAAACCACTATGGTCATTATTTAAATTAAACAAAAGGGGGAAATGTTAGAGTTTATAAACAAGTCAAGATGGTGCCTGGCATTTTGCAGAGGGAGTGGTTTGTGAAGTAATGCCAGTGAGCCATTAAGTGTGGAGATTCCTTATTGGTTGACTGCTGTATCTAGTTTATGTTAATTAAGATAAGCTGTGTGTAATGTATATATACCCCTCCTGTCCTACAATAAACGGCTCCCATTCTTGCTGTATCAATCTACACAAGTTGCTCGTCACCCTCCCGTTATTTTGCTGCAGCCGGACTGCGGCAACCACAGTTGTTGGCTATGGGTTTCTACACCATATAATTTAAATTTGAATCCAAAATTAGGCAAGAGGAAGGTTCAGAGTTTGAATTTCTCAAATGAACCCTCTTTTAAAAATATATCCTAATGATATATCTTGTTTTTTCTCTTGAAAATGGATAGGGATTTGATTTTCTTTTATAGTGCTGGGGATTGAGCCAAGATTCTCATAAAACTAGGCAAACATTCTATCATTGAGCTACACCATTAGTCCTAGATAATTTTTTAGTTCCATCTAAATGGGCACCAAAGTCCATTCACCTAAAAATTGGCAAATATGATAATTTATTCTAGTCATATCCTAAATTGCTTTAGCAATACCACAATTACTTAATTCTCTCTCTCCTTCAAAATATATTAAATATAAATAAATATATTTTTATATAAATATAAATATATTTATTTATATTTATATTCAGGTCAGGCTACTGGAAATCCAGATCCTGGCCATTCTGAACTGCATGGGGAGTAGGGACATCATCCCCAGAATGAGAGTCATCCAATGGCTCAGTCTGGTTTTGGATGACTGGATTGTGAGCAGGGACAAAAGAACAGGGAACACACACAAACACATATACACACACACACACACATATATTTAGGTTTCATATTATGAATATGAAATAGGGAAATTTGCTATCACATAACTGGACTTCTAAAGAGCAAAACTGAAAGTTTTGCAAAGAGTAGAAGGAAAATGGTGTTTATTCAAGGGAGAAAAAAGCAGAATATTATTGTGATAAGATTTCAAAAACAGAACAAAAGGGTCTTATGATCATCAAAGAAACCATAAGTGTTAAGAAATGGTTGCTATATCAGGCAAAAGAGATGGAAGTGTGTAGAAGCCTCCTTAGTCATGGAGACAGAGTTGGGAATCTCAGGGAGCCAGCATTAGGCAATCAGAAGTGGACAGTCATGCCACTGGTTTTGGCTCTATGTTAATAATTCCTGTTAAGAGTTGGGTGAGATAACACAGGGTCCAAGAGATAAGCTACAACTAGTAAGTTTCTTTCTGAAGCACCCGCTTCAGCATCCTGTTCCAAAATACTGAGGTGTCATGCTGCCTCAAAGTTCTGTGCCATCATATGCTTCCTTCTGCAGGACCCTCCTTTGGGTACATATTTTAGTCCCCACTTCTTTGTCACCTACTGCCTGCACATGGTCCTCAGTGTCCTCCTCATTAGTAAAGTGAAAACATCTCTTCTCTGAAGTGATATAAATGATGTGAAAGGGCTTTGGAAATGTGGCAGGTTATGGGCCACGGCTTTCTTCTACTTTCCCAATTCCTGCTTCAGGACTGTTCTGCCAGGCTCCAAGCTCTCAGCTCTGTCCTACACTTTCATTGATATTTGAACATCAAGGGTCAAAACTACACATTATCTCAAGAATGGGGACTAATATCACAACTCCATCTCTTCTCTTCACTGTTTCCCATGCTCACTGGGACCACTGCGTCTTGGTGAGACCCACTCACTGGCCAAAGTGCAGAGTTGGTGGCATCACAATGGGCATGCAGTCCTGGGGTGATGTGGGCCCTCATGTGTGGCATAACTGCTGGAGCAGCTCTGGCATGAGATCAGTTGCTCACCATGACTGTGGCAAGCTGAGAAGCCAGCAGTGTTTGAAATGATGACAAGGAAGCGCCCTCAAATTTCCCCACCTCGACCTCAGCCTCCTCCTCCCTCTGTTCCTCCAACAGCTCCTCCTCCAACCCACCTGCCTTCCCTGACTACTCCATTTTTCTTCCCTCCATCTACTGTCCAGCGCAATGCCTCCCTCTCTGTCTTCTGCCCTACCTGGTTCCCTCCTCTAGCTAGTGGTGCCAGTTCCTACTACACCACCTTAAATATCTCCATGCCCAGCTCCTCCTCTCTTCCTTCTGGACCACCCACTCGCCAGCCTGTTCGTCTTGCTCCTCTTTCCTGCTACTCCTCCATCATGGCCCCTACTCCTCCTCCCAGCCCTTCCTTCTAGTTCCCTCTTCTCTTGTCCCGCTCACAATCCAGTCATCCAAAACCAGACTGAGCCATTGATGACTTGCATTCTGGGGATGGCGTCCCTAATCCCCATGCAGTTCAGAATGGCCAGGATCTGAATGCCCAGCAGCCTGACCTGGGAACCCAAGGAAGGCAGGGTGAGGGCAAGCCAAGCTTCAGCCTGGAGCATCTCTCTGGTGAGTTCCAAGACCCTTTCCCATGTCCAGACCCTGGTTACCTTCTATCATGATAACCCTCTTGGGATGCCAGAGAGACCCTTAACAATTTCCTTTTCCCAGAGACCCACTTCCTCTCCCTCCCTGTCTTCTCTGCCCGCTGCAGGAGGTTCTGCATTTGTCCCTGGCTTCTCTGTGGAACTAGGGCTGAACTACAGAGCATAGAAGGGAGTGAGCAGGGGGCTCTAGGAGCCTAAGTCTCATGATGTGCCCTAATGTAAAATGAGGGCAAGAAGACAGATGCGAGGGCTCTCAGGCAGGGCATGAGGCTCCTGTAACAGGTACTTGGGGACTCAAGGCTTATTCTCTTCTGATTCTGTTTCCTCCCAGTCTCCATTTTCCTCCTTCTGTGACTCCACAACATGACATGCCAGGGACTTTTTCCCTTGGGAAATGCCTCCTGCAAGAGGGAGGGGCATGGGGGGGTGGAGGGAGATGCCCATGTATTCTCGTCACAACCCTACAAATTAAGACTCTCAGTCACCGACTCTTCCCTCCATTGACACAGGTGGAAGAGCCTACAAGGCAAGACTGATCCTGATCCTGCCCACATGATGACATTGGGTGAAATGATACCACTGTATGAAATGACCCCTGGTGCTCCTCAGTGTCATATACAAATCCAATACAATTTTAATCAAAATCCCAACCAATGTGTTGGGGAAAATTGAAAAACATTATAACCAGTAGAGAAGTGCAAAGGACTAAGAACAGCCAAGACTCTCTTTAGAAGACATCCTCCCTACCAGATATCAGGACATGATACACACTTGATAAACTTAATCACTATGTTAATTGTGCAGTAGTACTGGTGGGTAATCAGACAACTGGCTTAGAAATGAGTCCAGAAACAGACTCACACAAATGTGGACATGTGCATTCATTCTGAGGCTAATTCCCAGATAATACAGCTTGTTGCTAAGGCAAATGATATCTTCTTTCATATTAGATCTACAAGTTGATTTCCCTCTTAGCTGGATCTCTGCATCTGATCCCAATAAGAAGGATCCCAGAGATTTCAAGAGAAACTCATCCTCTAAGAGCTCTGGGTAAGAAGCTACAGGCTAGAGCCAGTATGCTTCTCCACTCCCGACTATTCCTCAATAGATAGCCTCTAAGCATGAGCAAATTCTTTCTTCCTTAAGTAATAATAGATATTAAAGGCATTCCTAGTGTCCTGGATAGACCCAGCAGTCATGAAACTATCCCCATAGAGTCTCTGGGCTGGAATGAGCTAGGCTGAAATAAGCCCAGAGTGTATATCAAGAATAAAGGAAAAATAAGATGTGGAGATGGGAGTCTAATTTGTTATTTAATTCAGGTTGCACATGGGGCTGGTGGACACTGTACCTGACAGTGTCATTGGGGTCTGTGAAGTCCTTGAGGATCATATTCAATTGTGTTCCCTAGCACCCAGCACTGCTCCAGACATATGCCAGACACTTGGTAAGGGCTTGGGTGCCTGGTTTACAGTCTTAAGTGGGCAGAGAATTACATTCTAACATGAACTGTGACGCTCTTTGTCTCCAGCTCACACAGGCAACAGAAAGTCTTGGCACTCTAACATAGAGGAGCCTACAGATGGTAAGTTCTTGAGAATACCATGACACAAGGCACAGACAAGATATGGCTAGAGAACTCTCAGGGTACTTTCAACCTGGTCCAAGCATCCCAGTCCTGTATGTGGCTAGAAACTGGACTCCAACTCACCCAGCTCAGAGACTGAAACTCAACCGCATGCCATCATATTAATTGTCAAGCCAACTAAAGTGTTCCCAGTGGCCCTGACATTGCATTCATTCACTCATCAGACATTTAGATGGCACAAGCAGAGAATCTGGGGTCATACTGAGTGCCCACTCTGGTTCTGCCACTCATTCATTGGGTGACTTTGTTCAGGGATTTACCCTCTCTCAGCCTACTCCCTAGGGTTGCTAGGAGAGTTAAGTAAAATAATGCAAATGCTCAGGACAGGATCTGGTGCTTGGGCTCCTGAAATGGTAGCTGTGACTACTGATGGCATTCTTACCATGTGGTAGTCACCATGATGGGGCTGGGTATGGGAACCTCACAGCTTCATGAGAGACAAACAAGCAGACTTGCAAGGACATAGATAAGTAAACAGTAAACAGGGGCTGGGGCTGGTGTGACAGCAGCATAGAACACAGGTGCTTCCAAGGACAAGCACAGGCACAAGTGCTGGTGCCAAATCCTGACTCCTGCCTAACTTGGGCTGCATCCCTGCCAGGTTTCTGAATCTCACTCTTCATGCTGCTCCAGGACCAAGGAAGAAAAACCCAGAGAGACGGGGTCAAAGTCAAGAAATGGAGGGGACGCAGAGGGGTTGATGAGTGTGGCTCCCGCACTTGATAAACACTAGGAAGCACCATGGCAATAGAGGTGGTAGCTAAGAGGGCAGAGTAGGGAGCCAGGTGGCCTGGGTTCTGCTTCACAGGTGTGTGACCTCAGGTAAGTTATACGTCATTTTTAAACCTAGTTCCCCAGTCATGGAATGGAGACATTACAGCACCTCTTATTTGGATATATAAGTAGCAAAGGAGGTGGTGGTTTTGGTGGGCGCAGAACCAGGCCTGGTCCACCCATGCCCAATACACATGGGCAGGCTACTCTGATGCTAACCAGGAAGAACAGAAAGGAGGGTAAGAGGCCAACCTCAGACCCAGCCGATGCTGCTCCTGTCTCCTTGGCTTCATCCCAGTTATCTTTATCCACTGAGTGATTCCGGGGTGTGCTTCCTTCCCAGGAGCTCTCTGCACCCTGCACTTCTCCAGCTCCCACTCCAGGGGCCTGGCCTTGTCTCCCCTTACTCACCTTTAGCCTGGGGCATGTGGCTCTGCAACAGGCTGCTTCATGGAGATTTGAATTCAAGGCTCCTTTAGTCCAGGTTGAAACACTGAGCAGGGCAGTAATAGAGCTGCTCATTTGCACCAGCTCCTCTTCAGACATGGGGTGTTGCCTCTGAGGCAGGAAACTGCAGGATTCAGGCAGAAGGCTCCTGTGGGAGCCTCCACCTCTTACACAAAGAAGGGGTGAGTACAGAAGGGAAAGATATGGCTAGAGGCTGGAGAAGAGATGGACAGTCAAAGGAGAAGGAACAGAGTGGGGGGTCTAACTTTAGGTGAATCAGGGAGGAATTCAAGAAGAAATTATTCTGGGCTGGGCATTGTGTCACAGGCTGGTAATCCCAGAGACTGAGGAAGCCAAGGCAGTAGGATTCCATTTTAAGGCTCAGAAACTTTGCAAGACCCTGTCCCAACAAAATAAAAAATGAGAAGGGCTGGGGATGTAGTTCAGTGGTAAAGCCCTCCAATTATAGCTAGAGTTTGGGGGCAGAAGAGACTTAATTGTTCCCACACGGGATCCCTGGTTTAGGGTTCAATCCCTAGTACTTAAGAAGGATGAGGAGGATTGTAGGACAAGAAGGAGGAGGTAAAGAATAAGAAATTTTCAGATAGTTGTTGAGCATGCATAATGAATCAATTATTCAGTGATTGTCCAAGAACATAAGGAAGGGGAACCAGTCAAGGTGGGGAGAACAATTGCTGTAGGTTTGGGCACAGGATGGGGTTTTTCACAGAAGAAACTTGGAGTTCAACTGTGAAAACAGCATGGACAATGGGAGTCTGTGGCTAAGACTCAAGCTCTGGGGTCAAAAGATGAGAAATCACTAAGAGGAAGCATCAGGGGCCCTGGAGGAATGTGGCTGAACCACCTAACAGGACTCTCGTTGAAGGCAGCCAGGGAGATCGCACACCACCAGTGTGGTGGTGGAAAACAAGGAACCAAATGCCAAGGGTGATCAGATACCGAAGGTGGGACTTTCTGGTTAAACGACTTAGTAGGATTTTGTAAAAGTGGACAATGTGGAGATGAATATGGCGGTCTAATCAGGTCTAGTTGAAAAGAGCACAGGACAAGCCGAGGGATGGCTGAGCAGATGTTGGTCAATGAAAGAAGTGAGAGGAGGTTGGGGAACATAAAAATCACAAAAATAGAAATCACGACGTTGGATAATTGGGCAATTTAATGGTATTTCCGAGCACACGTTTCTTAACATCCTTCCTCTGTCTTGAAGTCTTGGGTCCCCTAGTGCAAAGTGCGTGTGGAAATGTCGCATTGCTGACCTTCCAGGACACTTTCTGAGAAGCTCAGTGAGCGTGAGATGAAGGACAAATGAGGCTGGCCAGCCAGGGCCACCCTGCTCTGACTCCTGGGCCTTGCAAGGAGTCTCCAAATATTGCTCATTGTTATAAACCTGGGGACATTGGTGGTGATAGTGTAAGTGGCAGAGGAAGAAAATGTATCATAATGTTGGATCCAGATGTTGTGGAACCACAAGGTAAAATTTTTAGCTGGAGTTTTTTGTTTTTGTTTTATTGTTGTCTAGGGATTGAACCCAGGGCCTGTGCCTTCGAGACAAGCACTCTACCAACATATCTATATCCGCAACCCTCAGCTGGAGTTTTAGAGTGACATGTTTGGGGGCAGAAGAGACTTGATTGACCCCAACATGGGTTTCCTGGCCCATGGTAGAACCGTAACCTCTCTAGCAGATTACCCCAAATCTCCATATTGGGACACTAGGGAAGTCACATATAATGAACACCTCTTAGTTTTATGTCTCCTAGGAATAGCTGCTGAAATTATACCCCTTAAGTTAATTGCACAGTGCAGGTTTTTAAAGATTTGTGTATCACAGAGCTCATTTTTACTCAGTTCTTTGTGTGGCTCCTTCAACAAACTCATTCTTTCATTCTACAGATGTGTACACATACCTAGTCTATGTTGATTGCTGACTTAGGACCTGGGCTACCCTAAGGCAGATACTGCATGCCCCCTCTCTGGGCTCCAGTGTAGGCCTCAGCCTTGCACAGATTGTTCTCCTTCAACCTCATGACTCAGGTTGTTAATGTTGGTGTCTCCATTCCACAGCAGGTTGAGCAAAGAAAAGCACCTGTTGTCACAGTCAAGGAAAGAGGGACCTGATTTCAGACCAGATGCACGTGCCTCAATCCCATGACCTCTTGCATCCCCACAGGGGTCTTTCAGATTGAAAGGTTAATAAAATAGGTACTTGTCACTCTGGTTTTCTATATGCTTAAAAAAACACTGTTGAAATCTTGTTCCCAGGATGTGCTGTCCCCAACTGTGAACTGTTTGCTAATCTTGTTCCCAGAATGTGCTGTCCCCAACTGCCAAACTGCAGGATGCACTCCCTCACTAGGTTGCAGGCAAACTGCCCACTCGCCCTGACCATCAATGAACTTCCCTCCCTGCCCTCTCCAAGGAAAATATATAAGCTCTGCTTAAGCTGTTCTCAGGGCTCTCTCTCTTTGCTCTAGTGAGCTCTGAGCCCCAGCATGCTGGTCCCCAAATAAACCCTTTTGCTGTTGCATGAAACAGTCTCTTATGGTCTCTTCCTCCAACGTTTCGCTGGTCCCTAACAAGATCTGGCAGCCTCCCCTCCAGGTCCACCCAGAATGCCATGACCACAGGCTGAACCACTCCAGTGTCTACAGTGACCTCACTCTCTCCAAGGCTATGATGTGGAACCTGGGAGACAATCACAGCAGGAGTCCAATGGTGGGGCCTGGCGCTGTATCGAATACCCAAATGTATACTGCCCAGAAAATAAATATTTCTTTTTGTTAAAAAGTAAAATTTCAGCAAAATTTATTTTATAGGTAATGGTGACTTTATTGACAATTCTCAAATAGGGCACCCATTCAGACAAAAAAAAAAATAGTCCAAAATGCTCTGCTCCATCACCTGGG